TTTTAAATTTAACATTGTTTTGTGATCTGGTCAGCATATTTTACTGCTATAAAATACTACATTGTAGGACTATCTCATACTGTTTTCTTATTGACGGATTTTTTTTTTTTTTTTAGTAGGCAATGCTGTAAGGAACATCCTTTTCTTGGTTGAACCATATGAAATTGTTTTTGTAGGTCAAAAATATTTGAGTAGGGACAATTTTTTATGGTTGAACTTAATTCTGTTGTGTGTATGCCAACAGTAACTTTTAATTTTGGACTATACGAAGAATGGAAAATGGTATCTGTTTGTTTTTACCTGCATTTACGTATTGTTGGTGAAGTTAGACATATTTTCATATGCTCATTATGAGCCATTTTGATTTCTTCTAATAGAAATTTCCCACCTATATTCTGTGCTCATCTGGAATAGGGGAAATGAATAAAGCATTTCTTTAAGAATTTATTGTGGACATGTTAATGGATTAGGAAATGAGTAACCTCAAAGTTCTCCCAAAGTGTGGTAATTTTCCAGTGGCCATAAATTCCTCTTGTTCCATTGTGTGTACTCCTTTGTAATGTGATTTTACCTTTCTCCCCAGCCAAAGGTGGAGACTGTTTCTCCACTCTCTTGAATCTAGGCTGGCCTTGTGATTTGCTTGGACCTATAGAATATGGTGGAAATGATGCTGTGTAAGTTCCAGAACGTAGGCTTTAAGAGCCCTTCCAGCTTCCAGCTTCCCCTCTGAGAATACTGCCCCAAAACTGCCTTGTAAAGAAGCCAGATTAGTTTACTGGTGCATGGGAGGCCACACAAAGGAGAACCGAGATGCCCCAGCTGACAGCCAGCACCCACTGCCAGGCCTGTGACTAAAGCCATTTAGACCTTCCAGACCAGTAGAGCCTCTAGCTGAATGCAGCTGCATGAGTGAGCCCAGGTGAGACCAACCCACAGAATCATGAGAAAAAATAAATCACCATTAATTTAAGTCATTACATTAGGGGGTGGCTTACTTTGCAGCCGTAGTTAACGTAGCTATGCTCACTGGTGCCTGGCTGGCTCAGTTGGTGGAGCGTGTGACTCTTGGTCTCAGGGTTGTGAGCTTGAGCCCCACGTTGGGTGTAGAGATTATTTAAAAGTAAAATCTCTTTTAAAAAAAAAGTTAACTATCCTCTAGTGTGGTAATGAAATGGGTAAATAATTTGGAAAAGAAAAACAGAACTTGAAAGTACTTGATATTTAATAGTATCCTTTTTTATTTAAAAAAAATACTATTAACAACTTGCTTATTATGTGTTAGGCATTGTGCTAAGCACCTTGTATATTATCTCATCTTTAAAACAACCCTATTAGGTAGAAATTATTCTTATTTTGCCAGAGGTCACACAACCATTAGCCACTGGAATGGATTAGGGAATGAATAACCTCATATTTTCAGAATCTCAGTTTTCAAATCTGGGATAGCATTTTAAAACTTGGTATTCTGTGATAGGCAGAACCGTGGCCCCCTAATCCCCAGAACCTGTGAATAGGTTACCTTACTTAGCAAAAGGGACATTGCTGATGTAATTAAATCAAGGATCCTGTATGGGGAAATTGTCCTGGATTTTCTGGGTGAGCCCAATGTAATCACAAGTGTCCTGATAAGAGGAAAGAAGGGGTGCCTGGGTGGCTCAGTTGGTTGGGCATCCGACTCTTGATTTTGGCTCAGGGTTGATTGAGCCAAAATCAGCCCTGGGATTGAACTCCAGGTCAGGCTCTGTGCTCAGTGGCAAGTCTGCTTAAGGATTTCTCTCCCTCTGCCCCTCCCCCTGTTCACGTGTACAATCTCTCTCTCTCTAAAATAAATAAGTAAATCTTTTAAAAAAATAGTAAGAGGAAGGTAGAAAGCAAGAGTCAGAGGAGATGTAAAGACATAAGTAGAGGTAGGAGGATGTGGGGTCACGGACGAAGGAATGCAGGCAGCTTCTTAGAAGCTGGAAAAGACAAGGAAACAGATCTCCTCCTAGAGCCGCCAGAAGGAACATGGCCACACTGACACCTTGATTTTAGCCATTTTGGACTTCGGATCTCCAGAACTGTAAGATAGTAAGTTTCTGTTTTCCTTGTTTCTTTGGTTTTTTGTGTGTGTATTTTTTGTTTTGTTTTAGAGAGATAGATGATCCTTTAAGTTTATGCTGTTTTAAGCCACTAAATTTGTGCTAATCTGTTAAAAGCAGCAACAGGAAACTATATTCCAACTATTTTTAGCCATACTTCTAATACGGAGAATTTTTTGTTAAGAAAAAGCAAATGAGAAGGAATTCTAGGAAGATAACACCTTATTCTGCCTTCTTTACAGTCACATACTCAGTAAGCAGATACACAAATTAGAGTAACAGTGATGTATAATCTTACAGTCATCAAAATGGCAAAAAAATTAGATTCCATTTATTAATGGAAGAGATGGAGGAGGGGGAGAATGTTTCTTATATTGCTGGTGGAAAGCAATTGGTATTACCTGTCAAAATTAAAGATACATGTTTATCTTTCCAACAAGCAATCCTACTCCTAGAAATCTAACTCACAGAAATAAAAGCACCATTATTAAGAACATATTTAAATATATTTATGACAATTGATTATAGTGGAAAAAAACAAAAACAAAGTGCCCATCAACAGGATAATACTGAATGAATTATGGCACTTCTATACCATAGGATGGTATTCAACAAAGATGAAGACAACCCACAGAATGGGAGAAAATCGTATATATGTGCTGTATCTAGAACATGTAAGAATTCCTACAACTCAACAGTAAAACTGAACCCAATTAAAAATGGGCAAAGGATCTGAATAGACATTTCTCCAAAGATGTATGAATAGCCAGTAAGCACATAAAAAGGTGGTCAACATAATCATCAGGGAAATGCAAATCAAAATCAAAGTGAGATAGCTCTTCACACATACTAAGATGGTTATGATCAAAAAGACTGACAAAAACAAGTGTTGGTGAGGAAGTGGAGAAATTGTAACCCTTGCGTATTTCTAGTTGGAATGTAAGATGGTGCAGCCTCTTTGGAAAATAGGCAATTCCTCAAAAAGCTAAACACAGAATTACTATAACCTAGCAATTCTACTTCTAGGTATATTACCCAAGAGACCTTAAAATATGTCTACATAAAAAAGTGTACACTCATGTTCAAAATAGCCAAAAAGTGAAAACAATGCAATATCCATCAACTGATGAATGGATATACAAAATGTGTATTCTTACAACAGAGTATTATTGTCATAAAAAGGAATGAAGTACTGATACATACTACAGTGTGATGGTTATCTTAAACATTATGCTAAGTCGAAGAAGCCAGATACAAAAGGGTACATATTATATTACCCTATTTATATAAAGTGTCCAGAATAGGCAAATTGATTGAGATAGAAAGCATATTAGTGGTTGCCAGGAGCTGGGAGGAGGAAGGAAGGGGAAGTGAATGCTAACAAATACGGAGATTCCTTATGGAGTAATGAAAACAGTCTGGGATTAGACAGTGGTGACAGTTTGCACAACCTGTGAATATACTAAAAACCACTGCATTTTACATTGTAAAAGGTTGAATTTTATGATATCTACATTATATGAAGAAGAATAGGAATAAGAACAAGATCAAAAACAAGAAGAACCTTTTCTGATGATTTCCAGGAACACCAGATAAGAAACCATTTGTCATCTGATCAGGTCAGAAGCCAAGAATTCCATTTTATTTTTTAGTTATCTTTATGTAACTGGATTTTCTATTTATAGAAGAGATTAAGTTGTCTTTAAAAATATGTTTATGTCTGGGGTGCCTGGCTGGATTGGTTGGTGGAGCATGTGACTCTTGATCTAAGGGCTTTAAGTTCAAGCCCCACGTTGGGCATAGATTACTTAAAAATAAAATATTAATAAAGTGTTTACATGAAAAAAACAAAATCAGTATAAATAATAGTATTAAAGAAAAACAGTAAGTAACAAAGTGTGTGGCAGACTGTGAAGTTTGTCCTAGTGTACTATTATTTTTCAAGCCCAGTAATACTGTTTAAATTAATAATGAAATAAAACTCAATACACCATTCACTTCCCAGTGGCAAGTATCTCCATAACTTAATCCTTAGATATGCTCTTCCAAGTACAATCCTCTTTCACTAATATTTCCAAGGAAATTTTCAGGGATTTGCCCTCTAAGTTAGTTATCATAGGTTTTGCCCCTTTCCCTATCAATAGCCTGTCATCACCACTGGCTCTCCCTGGGGCCAAGGTTCCTAAACTATGCAAGCTGAGGTGAGTTGGGGCACCATAGCAAAAACATTGATAATTGATACCTTTTGGATACCATGCCTAATTCTAGTTCCAGGTAGTTCAGTTATATTATATGGCACCACATGCCTTTTGATGATGTCCTATCTTTGTGAAGCTGGGTTTGGGGCCATTGCTGTGATAAAAAGCAAGTACACCAGAGCCACTCAACACACATCTGTAGTCATGAGTGCTCATGTGTCTGGACCAGAGAATTCCATGTCATCTACCATTCTCAGCCAGGACATCCTGAGGGTAAATCAAGCTACTCCTGATGCCTCCTCTCAAATATCCTACCCCAAAAGGTGCTTCCTATAATTAAGACCCCAGCTGCAGTTACCTACTAAATTTTGCAGTATGTTAGGGCCACATAAATCCATGGCATTACATTGTAATTACTGTTTAATTATACTGAATGTTACTGCATTAAATATGTACTTTTATACATGTGTTTCCATAGTTACAATGGCAAAACTGTATTTAGAATTAACAAATAATGGACTTCTTTCCATTTTTTAATTATTTAGCCCACTCACAGCAATTTGGAAAAGGACTGATAATCAAATATTTACGGTTTCTACTCCTGAAATGAGACAAACTAATCAGAATACACTTTTTTAAATGTTTATACCAAATTCACACAGACGGTATATATAAACATACAGCATATTCACACACACTAAAAAAAAAGAGAGAAGGGAAATTTGCCCATAATCAAAACTTTATTGAAAAACTGACACCAAAATAGGACATCACTGTTGTAAACCTTACAAAATTAAGCATAATTACATTATCTTGGTAGATAACTGGAATTACTGAACTGATAAGGCTTTCTGCGATATAACACAAATTCAAGAGGTTGTGTGGATCATTAGTGTTGCTTTCTTCTAAATGAACACCCTGCAAAGGAATCACGAGAACATGTTAAACACAAGTGTACACTATCTCTGCTATAGTCTTAATGACAAAAAGTATTTTTTCAGTTAAAAAAAAAAACCTAAATTTTAGGAATATTAGAATAATATTCACATACACGTTATTTATCCTTGTATGCCAGAAATTTACTCTAATAAATCTTGTATATTTGAATTTATTCTGATGTGACTATAACTGTTATTCCTGTTTCTCAAATGCTATATTAGAGTCTATGTAAGACCATGAGCCTAAATTCAACAGTTAAGACTTTAATCCAAGCTGTCAGAAAATGCAATCTTAATTTTTAGGAGTTATTCTGAATTACTTTCCTAAGAAACTGATTTTGATTAGAATTCTCTTCAAATCTATTAGGAAAACTCTAATACCCTATTAATCATCCATTGGCACAAAACTCCAAGATCATGACATGATATAAAGGTTTAAAAAATCTTACAAGTATACTTTTGAGAGAAATACTGCACTTAAATATCATATAGTGACTTTGTACTTAGATCTCACCAGGTCACACAAAATAGATGTTGGATTTGTTGCCAATCTACTTAAAACTCTTCTGGTGAGAACAACATGGAATTCACAACACCCCCAAAATATCACAAGCAAATTTCAAATATCATTACGGAATTACAAATCTGTAAGTACTACTATGGAAAACAATATACATAATTACTATTTTTTTCTTACTGCACAAAAGTGAAAGAGGAATTAAAATGGGATTTTTAGAGGCACCTGGCTGGCTCAGTTGGTAGAGCATGCGACTCTTGATCTCAGGGATTTTAAGTTTGGGCCTCATGTTGGGTGTAGAGATTACTTAAAAATAAAATCTTTTTAAAAAATAAATAAAATGGGATTTTTTTTTTTTTTAAAGATTTTATTTATTTATTTGACAGAGAGATAGAAGAGCACAAGCAGAGGGAGTGGCAGAGAGGGAGAAGCAGGCTCTGCACTGAGCAGGGAACCCGATGCGGAACTCAATCCCAGGACCCTGAGATCATGACCTGAGCCGAAGGCAGACACTTAACCATCTGAGCCACCCAGGCGCCCCTAAAATGGGATTTTTATTTAACCATTAAGTAGGTGCTCTGAGAAATCAAACTGCTGGCATTTTAATTTATACCTTAGTTATCTGTTGCCTAGCTAGCAATGATAAAAACTGTCTTCAGTCAAATGTGTCAAATACATATGAAACAAAATATTTACAAGAGAATTTTAAAAATTCTATGGTTTTAAAAATCCCTTATGTCCTATGGTATGTACTTATTCTTTTGCTCCATTCTGACTTATGTTTAATATTCCAAATTAAGCAGCCTAAATAACTACACAGAATTAGGTGTTCCAGACCAAGAAAAACAATAGTTAAAGGAGTTCTTTGCAAAATCAAAGGTATAAACTTATCCATTTGAGCAGGGCACTCTACTGAAAAAGCATACAACAAAAGATAAAATTATTTTGGTAATAATGAATTTATGATTTCTTTTAAACTGGTTTTTAATAAGGTGGACATTTATAATCCTAAAACCTCATCACTGGGTTAGAAAATGCCAAACGAATACCCTCTGTGAGTCTGGCCTTTCCTCCTGTTGGCTGGCACAACACTGTTGAACAGCCTACACAAAGAACCACCGTCTGAGCATGGCTGAAAACCGTGGTAATCTTGTAGCAACCT